TTCAGCACGCCACCCCGCATGCTACGCACAGCAGGCAACGATTATGGCCCCTGTCACTGGCTCAGAAAGACCCAAGGAAGCCTTCGAGGATGACTTCTGCATTTCCCAATTCTCCCCTTCTATACACCTCCGAGGCTTGCGCAGTGCTTTCAATAGAGCCTCTCGCTGCGAGGAACGTCGACAACTGAGGTTCCATGAGTTAGTCGATCCAGCTAAGCCGGAGCTTGAGCGTGCCCCGCTTGCTACCACTACATAGTAGGGGCCGAACTTGAAAATAAGGAATCCTTGGGATTCTCCTTTTGTCAAGGTCGCCCCATCAAGCCTGCCCCCTCATCCGCCAGCCCTCGCCCAGCTTCCGAGCCTCCAGAGGCCCCAGGCGAGGACAAACACCGCCTGCCGCATGGTCGTGCTCGCCCGCGGCTCTGGGTCCGAGGGGGGGGGCGGCTCAGGGCGGGGATGTATCCGCAGCCCCGCTCTCGGGCGTGGATTAGCGTTAAGTCGGGCGTGTCCTTCTATAGGAGGAATATCCAAAAATAGTTTAAAAAATAGTCTGGGGATTTTCTTTATTCATAATACTATGATTGAGTATGTTTAATTGTTTTTAGCTGATTTTTCATGTGTCATCCAAAATCCCCTTGTGGGAGGACACGCCCGACTTACGATTAGCGACGGGTCCCGTTTCCATGGGGGATCGTGGATTTCCGCCGCCGAGCGAGGCGGCACCGGCCGCATTTTGGGGAGGGCACCTCCGTGCGGGGTTTAGTTGGTGCGATTAGGTTTGCAGGTTTTTCGACTCAAATGATCAACCCGATCCATTGCAAACAAACAAAAACATACATTATATCCGAAATGCACGACGGCCCCGTGACTTGTTAAGACGATACCGCGACCGCTACATTGCTAAGAAAGAGTTTGACCGCGGCGCACATGCAACGCTTGCATTAAGGAGGGGAACGCGCGATACACTAGCGTGCCCAATGCGATACTACGCGATGTGGATTGAGAGCTGAACTTCTCGTGGTACAACGACATAGCCGGGATTCTTTTTTTCAAGTGCGCAAAATGATGCAAGGGGCGTTATGCGCGAGATGATGCCCTGCCGCACTGACAGATGTCAGCGCCTTCGGCGCTTCATCGGTGCAGGGCTGGTGACACGCTTGCGCTTCTTATTGATCGTCGCCTGATCTGTGGCGTCGCTCCACTCGACCAACGTCGGAGCATTCGGTATCCTAATAAGCCCCTGTAGAAGATGTCGCCGCAGCACAGCCATGGCATGGCTGTGGCAAGATACAGCGCTCTCACTCGCCATGCCTGAAGGAACTCTTTTCTTCATGCGCAATGAGAAGACCTTCCCAAGCGAGAGAAATCTAATGTTACTTCGCAGCGCTCGCGAGTTGAACTCATCACGTTGGCACTGTGTGACTTCAGTTGGAACATAAGTGCCTCATTGGGAGTGGTTCCAAAAGAGCAAGACAATCCTGTTTTAGCCTTGTAAATGGGAATGTTTTGATCGTAGAAGAACTTTGAAGCCGACATGTATCTCGTGAGCAAATCGGAAACGGTAGGCTTTGCATTGCGGCCAGTAAGCGGCCGTTTGCAGGACCGCTCATGCTGGCTCATTCGCGCCAGAACGTCAACGCAATACTCGCGATAGTTGTTGTATGCTTTGGCCTGGTAAGCCGAAGTCTGCAACCGCTGGTGCGCTCTGCGCAGCTCAGCAGGCCGAACATCAAGTGAAAGTGTGTGATGCGCTCTTGGCTGGGAAATATCAAACTAATGTTTCTTGCTCAAACTAGTCGCAGGCTTCCCCTTTGAATTTGATCACGATCTTCTTAACATCTTTCGACAGCGGGTCGCTTTCTTTAACGAGCTTGACGAGGTCCATCCAAGAATGCAGCGGGTCGCCACCGACGCACTTCAGATTCGGGAAAACGTTTTTGGCATGCACCAAATTCCATTTGTCGGGCGTGTCAAACAGGATGATTTCAGCCTCGCGTCTCTTGTCAAGGGTTGCGTTGGCTCTCATGACAGAGGAACGCTCAGGTACACCCTCACTATACCCTGGCTTACACGACACAGGGACTCCATCGGCGATCATTACATGCACACAATGGATAGCCGAACGGTCGGTCGACTCCTTTTTGGCCCAATGCTTTTCTTGACCCACAATTGACAACGCATACTTGCACGATGGATCAAACGACATCACGCGACAACTCAATTCATCAACGCACCGCTTTTTGTAGACCAGTGAGATTGCAACGCCAGCCCTGAAGATCTTCCCCCAGACGGGGCGCATGGATGGAAGCAGAAAGCTCAACTCGCTGTCATTGGAGATATTCTGCTCGATCAGGAGATCTCTGACACGCCGATGCTTACTCTGCGTGCGAGCATCTGTGAAAGAGACGACGAGGAGCAACGATTCTGGGGTTACGTAATAGTTGGGGGTAACTCGGATGCCCTCCTCTTCAACAATGAAGCGGGGCTGGCGGACGTCGAACAATGCGTGAGCACGAAAATCGTCGGCATTATGCATTTTATGCACGCCGATGGAATCCCGCGAAATCTTGGCATTCCGCTGCAGGTATGGGTCACTGCAATCCTCCTTCGCCATCGTCAAGGCAGACACATTGCCTTTGATTCGGTCCATCTCAATGCTCGATGACAATGCTCAATCTCAATGCTCAATCTCGATGCTCATCTCAATGCTCGGTTTCTCGGCCGAGCACTGCGTCTTTCAAGTGGTACTTCTTGTGGTCCTCCAAGCCAGCTAAACACCGAAAACGGCGATCCGGGCAGAAGGGGCATCGCCACAGGTTCTCTGCGCCCCTGCGCTGCTCCATATTCGTGCTCCGCACCTCGGCTTCCAGCTTCCCCATGATTTCTGGTGGAAAGCCTGTCCGACCCCCGCATAGTGAATCACCGATGGGGCCCTCCTCGTCGGCGCGGATCGCGTCGATGGCAGCGGCCGCGCAGAAGAAACCCATGCCAGCATTGCTGCGCATCTCTGCTGATTCATCCGATGTGATGAGATTGGCCTGGCCGCCCTGAAAGCAGACGATGCTGTAGTTGCCAACTAACAACGCATAAGCATGGCCTGCGCCGTCGTCACCGAGGAATTTGCCGCCTGCCAGCGCGGTCCCGGATGTCGCTCGGCTCGCTCCCATCCCAAACGGAGCTAGCTAGCATTTTGCACCCGTCTGCAAGAATCCAAAATGGCCCTTCGCCTGGCGCGGCTGCAGGGGAACCAAGATCTTTGAACGACAAATGCACGCATAGGTTCGTAGAACGGCTTGTGGAATTCGTTCGCTTGCAGTTGCTGGAATTCCCTGACGCATTCGCAAGCTCCAACCCCATTTCCATGCCGAGCTGCCTCATATCGTTGGTGGTTCGGGAATGAGGACCAGGGTTCCCCAGGGCGTCGCACCCCGCCACGCGCGAGCGCGCGGACCTCCTGCCGCGCACGATGGCATCGCACGCGCCCTTGTGGATGAGGAGCGGGGCGCCGCCTTGCAGGAAGCACGCTGGATCGTCCATGCCGCTCGCAGAATCAGCGGGGCCTTTTGGTCTGAGCTCGAAAACGCCGATCCCAACCGCACTCCGAATTCGGGCGCAGAACGTAGCAGTTGTAGTCTGTAACACCTGCGGGGGGGCGACGCGCGCAACAAACATGCACGTACTTTCCCCTTTTTCATCGCCTTAAGAAGCCCTCGTGGGCAGCGGTGAGCGCTTGCAATCTTTTTCCGAAGCCTTCAGCAAGCTCCTCATTGGCTCCCTTTTGGCTCCCTCTTGGATCTCTTTCATTTCCCCATTGGCTTCCTTTTGGCCCCGTATCGATGGATTCCTTTTGTTGCAATTTTCAAATGATTTCCTTCTGTTGCGGATTGCAATGCGATTTCCTCTTGTAGAGGATTACACTGGGATTCCTTGTGTAACGAATTACACATGTATTCCTTTTGTGGAAGGCCCAGCTGGCAGTGACCCAGGACCCAAGAGGAACAAAACATATTTTTTGAAATCGTTGACAATGGTTGAAATTATATTACTCTCAAACATTTTCAATGATATGAGCGTACAAATATAAGAACACAGCATTTTCCAGCTCCTGGAAGCCCAAACCATATACAAACACAGCATTTTCCAGTTCGGTTGAGTCCAAACCATATGAAAACAAAGCATTCTCATACATCAGATCTGCAAAATGTTGTGTGTTTAGTGGTTAGGGCACCCAGGAGGTGGAACATGTTGTGTTTTCATATGGTTTGGGCTTCCAGGAGGTGGTTTTTTTAATGATTAAAAACACATATTTTTTATGTCAGACCATTGAAAATAATTGAGAGTCGTATAATTTTTTCAATTTTCAATGATTTCAAGTTTTTTGTTTTGTTGTTGTTTTCTCTTGTGGGTCCTGGGTCACTACCAGGTGGGCTTGTCACAAAAGGAATCAATTTGTATTCCGCCACAAAGGGAATCCATTTGAAATCCGCCACAAAAGGAATCAAATTGTAATCCGCCACAAAGGGAATCAATTTGTAATCCGCCACAAAGGGAACCAGTTTGTAATCCGCCGCAAAAAATATTTGGAATCCGCCACAAAACGAACGAACTTGTAAGAAAGAAAGAAAACAGAAAGAGAGAGAGAGAGAGACAGACAGCGGAAGAGAAAAAAAGAAGAAGGAGAAAACGAGGCCCGAACGCAGAAACCTAATCACACCAATTAAACCCCTTACAGGGCACCTCCCCCGATCCATGGATGCGGCGACCGCGCGCCAAATCCACGGATCGCTAATCCATGTCTGCGCGCCCCCGACACTCGCCCATCGACAGCCCCAGTGTTCGCCCGACCGCCCCACTCCGTCCCCCCTGGGAGTCGTGGCCCCCCCTGCCCGCTGCCCCTGGGGTCTCCGGGGCCCGCGTGCGCGGCGAGCTCGCAGACACGAGCCGAGGGGTGGGGGCCCGCAGGGGTGTCCAGGCAGCGCCCGGGCGGGGTCGCCGCGCAGGCCCCCCGGTGCTGCGGGCCATGCTGGACGGGGCCGACAAGGAGCGGGGGCGGGGCCTTCTCCGGCAGGCTGCTGTCTTCGGGGTCCTCCCTCGCTTCGGGAGGGCTGTGCGAGCGCCGTGCCGCTCCCGGCTTTTCTCTTGGGGGGGTCCCTTCGACGCGCGCTCGCCTGGGCCTCTTCAGATGGGGGGGCAGGCCCTGAGATCCGACGTATTCAAGCAATCAAAGCGGCGTTTTTTCGCAACTTTCGGCCTCGGGTCGGGGTCCCAGGATCGTCAAAAAACGACTCAGGCTGAACAGCCGGTCCTGGGGAATGGGTCGAGATTTCCAGAGACCCCGCATTGAGAAAGTCTCGACATCGGATCTCAGGGGGTGGCAGGGAAGAGGAGGAGGGATGGGGAGACTGGAGGAGGAAGGTCACGAGGGTTCCGGCGGGGAGGAGGGGAGGAGGGATCTCCGGCAGGGATCCGGCAGTTCAGGAGGAGGGTGGAGACGGGAGGAGGGGAGGAGGGAGGATAGGGGGGTCAGGAGGGGTCAGGCAGGCCTCGGAACAAAGTAGCGTACGATTGATGGCAGGGCGTCCTGGAGCACGCTCTCGGCCGTGGCGCCAGGTGCATCCTCTATTCACCGAGCGCGTTCCACCAGTCGCAAAGTGCCTACTCGCAGACGTCCGAACCAAAAAAGAAGAAGCTGGATCCAGGCCATTTGCAAGTGGCTACGTGTGCCAGTCGTGGAACGCGCTTGTTTATCTATGCCCGCCAGCTGTTCGGGATCTCGATTGTTTGCTTGACCCCGTGCGAAAATGCCGCGAGAAAGAGGTTGTGCGCAGGGAGCCGTGACCGCAGGGCATGGCCGTGCATTCGTGTCGTGGATGAGGGGGTCCAGGCTTAAATCGGGCCTGTCCCTCTACAGGGGGAATGTTCACAAATTGTCAAACAGTACTCAGGGGACGATTTGTTTTGAATGTTTGTTGGCTATTTTGAGATAGTTTTGGCAATTTTTGATTTTCGTCCGCCTGTAGGGGGACATGCCCGACCATGTCCAGGCGGATACTCTCAGGTACAGGAACTCTCGGCAGGAACACGGGATCACGTACCATGTCATCGGCGACGACAGCGGGCCGATGGGCCGCAACCGCCTCGAGGCTACAGTTTCAGGCCCATGCAGGTTTTTCCATGAGTATCATCGCCTAGCTCGAAAGAGAAAACGCCATAAACATCAAGTTGTGGCGCTCCCCGCGAATTTACCGATAGAAGGTTCGGATCGTGTTGCAATGTTCAGGTCCAGCCGTATCTTCACATCGCGAATACACTGCGTCCCATGACCTTCCGCGGACGACGAAGATGACGGAGGAGTGAGACACGCGAAACCGATTCGAGAAGGAGTTCGTAGCCGGAAGTCGGGCCGTTCCCTCTACAGGAGGAATGCTCAAGAATAGTAACAAATAGTCAGGGGTGTATGTTTGGCTATGTTTGGGTATTGTTTGACTTGTTTAAAAATTGTCGTCCAAAATCCACCTGTAGGGGGACATGCCTGACCGAATCGTAGCCTGATGTTCCTGGATGTTGTCCATGCGCAAAGGATCCAGTGGTGGAGGGCAACGGAACGCCGCCATCATAGTCGTCATCACCGTCGCCACTATTCCCCGTTGTTGGTAGCCAAGAGATGGGATGTTGACCATGAGGAAAAGTTTGATGTGAAAGCACGAAACCAATTTTTCGTTCTGGGCCCAGAGTTCTGATTAGAGGAAGGGTTGCCGTCGCCACCGCGGGGACAACTGAGTTGAACTCGCGAAATCTATTCGTAGACGCAACGCATCTCTCCCCGATATTGCGTTCTTCCTGCCGTTGCTTTACGGGTGGAGTGGACGAGCTCTTTACAAGTGGAACTGGCTGGGAGATTGAGACGATCCGTCAGGTTCCAGCTAGCAGAGACGGGGAGGTGTGAGGCCATTCAGTGCAGATTTGTTTACGCTTTCTCCTCCGAACCGCCTTCTCTTGATATTTATCAATCCCACATCCTTCCGCTTGGCCTCTCCCCCGGTGCCCATTCAACGCAAGCCCCCTTTGCCGTCTGCGGCTTGCGTCTGGAAGCCACGGCTCGACGCAGCTCGGAATCTGTTCAGGATGGAGGAGGGTGGAAAGGGGGCGAGGACGAGGAGGAGGAGGAGGAGGAGGAGGAGGAGGAGGAGGAGGAGAAGGAGAGCATTTGGGGCATTATTCGCCTTCTTTATGCCTGCTGGGCCTCGTCGCCACGGTTGGATTCGTTCCGAGATCCTGGTCTGAAGGCGCTCCAGGAGAGGCTTCTTGGCCAGGGGGATCGAGACTTGGAGCCCTCCCGTACCCCGGGATCCTGGTCCGTACAGGGCCTCCCGTGGAGGAATTCCGTGCACCCATCTCTCTCGAGGGGGGGCCCCAGCGACCTCCCAGGGACAGGGGTGCACGAGGGCCCCTCGGGGTCCGCGCACCGCGCCCGGGCGGGGGAGGTCGTCGGCGCTTTTCGGATTCGCCGTGCCGTGCCTGCTGTGCACTGTTCGTCCACGGAGAGCAGGGACCGAGTGAGCAATGGCACCCTTGCGGCAGAGTATCCTAGACGGCTTCACATGGTGGGGGCGACGACGGGGGGCAAGGACGGGGAGGGGGCAAGTGCGGGCAACGATGGGGGGCGACGGACTCCCGATCTCGGGGGCCCGTGCACCCTCCACTGCCATTCGAATATCATGTATATGC